CCGCCCCCAGCCCGGGGCCCGGCAGCGGGATCGTAACCCTCGGTGTTGCGCCCGCACCGCGCTCAGCCAGTGAGCGGGAACCAGTCTCCACATGGGATCCGAACCCTCGGCGGGAGCGCCGCCACACTCCCAAGCGGCGCACTCTCCAGTGCGCCACCGGGCCGGCCCAAAGAGATCTTTCATTTAGCACAATTCTTCCTTCCACTTGGCCTAGACTATGTAGAAAGATGTTAAGAAAATCATGTTAAGCTGAAGGAGATGATGAATAGAAAGCTGATATAGACTAAAGCATTAAAAATGCACTTCAAATGAGCAGAATAAATAAATGATATGGAAACTGTTTTACTTCAGTTTTGAATTCATGTGATGATAGAGAAGGCACATCAGTTCAATAACAAGAAAGACTTCATACTACTTCATTATTTTTTTTTTCACTAAGAGCAAAGGAACAAAAAATAAGATTTCTTTATTCACTATCAACCAGAAATCACAGATTATAAGTCTGGACAAAAAGTATTGTTCTGTGAAAGTGACTTAAGTTCAACCCCTTGTCATACCTCATTCTTTCTGCCAAATTTGTATTTTCCACAATACTGAAAGTTCCACAAACATGGGGACCATGTATGTCTTCTTTTACCCTGTAATTCTATTGTGCCTTGCACAATGACTGAAACATAGTAGGTGTGCAGTAAATATGTTAAATGACTTAATGCTCCATCACTATGGTTTTGCGTGAATCATGAGGCTGATAAAGGCCTATGAGAAACCACATTCAAAATAGGTAAGAAGGAGAAAGCTCTTTTCTTATGCATGTAATATTGATCAATATAAATTACTAATAGGTTGAGAGAGGGAAGGGACTTAGGATGGAGCAGTTGGGACATAAGAAAAAAGATAAGGACAAAATTAAGCTGTTCTTTGTAAGTTATTTTCACTGAGCTTAAAACAAAACTCAAAAATTGAAAATTTAATTATTCTCATATCTCTAAAGTAAGGAAAATTTGAGCCCATTTTAGAGATAGGAAAAGTTAAGTATTCAAATATAGACTCACTTTACAAATATACAGCACTATGTAAATAAGAAGAATTAGACTCCCTGACGATTTTCCAGGACTCTGCCTATATTGCCTCCGGGTCCTCCAATCTGTTCCATGCTTATACTTTCTCTACTCTATTCATCAGATGGTAATTTTTATTTAGGTTTTGTTTCCCTACACAAACACATGCTTTCTGCATGTTAGTTTGATGATCATAGAATTTATTGTTGACTCAGAGAATCTAAACAGTTAATTCAAGCAAATGCCCAAAGCAAGGACAAGCAGAAAAAGATGTCATGTAGACATCATTTTTAAATGTTATACCTAACAAATTCTGCTATTCCCCAATGGTTTAAAGCAAACAACACTGCAACCTAAAAGTGATTTATCCAAATAGGGTGGATTTTATCAGTTTTAAAAGCCTGACAGATGTTAAAGTTTATTCCAGAAACTCTGTTTGTAAATCATGTTTCTTCCTTTGTTTTCCTATTTGCTGTGGCTCCAATGGGCTGTCATGATAAACAGTAAATCACAGCTTATTGCTGTATAACTGTAAAGCAGAGAACATATGTGTTTACTGTGGAGCCTTCTAGCACCACAGTTGAGCAGAGAGAACTGCTGCCCGTACCTGCCACCAAGTCCACTCCTGGTCAGGCCCACCCATTCCCCAGAGCTCCTTGGGAGCTTTCCTGCTACCTTCTTGCTCTCCAGACACCTGGTGCTCTGCCTAAACATGGGATAACAGGGCTGAGGGCAAGAGAAGGTTGGCTCCTTCTCCCTTCAGGAAACCAAATGGGAAACAGAAGAAAAAGTACATCAAATTTATCAAAGGTTATGATCTGTTGTGCAGAATCACCAATTCCTTAGAGGTTTACCAAATAGTGGAGCAATCTTCAAAGACTAATGGAAATCACACATATATCCACAATGCTGCCACACTATCTATAACACAAAGTTTCTTTTTTTGTCTTGAATTCTATCATTCAGTGGCATTATCCCAGGCTTATCAGGAGCTCTGAATAGCACTTGAAGATATCTTAGATTACTAAAAATAAAGAAAGCATTACTTAATAGATAAAAATCAGGCTCATTGAAGGGCAAGGTAAAATGATAAAAGGGATTTTTGTGGGTATAAAAAAAGGTTTTAAACAAAAAGACTCTTCAAAAAAATTCTCTAAGAGAACCCTTCCCTCCCCTACTCCAGTTTTCCCCTCATTCTGTGGTAATAACTCACTGGGCAGGGCAGGGAGGTTTTCCTGTAACTGGCATCTTGTCGTCGGTGGTGTTCCCGGAGTCCTCTCTCATCCTCCTCTCTCCAGCTGTGACCCCAGAAGCTGCTCATCCATTTGGCAAAAGATACATCATCATCATCATCATCTTTGTGCTCCATGTCAAGGCAATTCAAAATATTGAAGGTCTGTCCTTAAATCTGACAGAGGAAAATACCACCCAACAGGGCTGACTTGATGAAACCCAGGATCTTCCCCAAAAGACAAAATGAAACTGTGTTTTTAAATGGTCTCTGATAATGGCATCCTTAAAGAAGAAAGATTTACTAAACAACCACTTCATCATCAGGCAGCCTTGGGCAATGTCTATTTATAAGTTGTGCAGCCCACATTCCCCTCCCCCTTGTCTTTTTAAATTGACAGGCTTTTTAATCCTTCCATTGCTGGGACTTGTGCCTGGCAGCCTAAGGGTTGGAAGCACAGTCCACTGCCTGGTTTTCCCTGTGCTTTGCTGACAATGGCATGTGATGGCATCTCCAGCTGTCAATGATGATGGAGCATGACCCTCATAATATGCCTGTCAGCTCCAGGCCAGCTCTTAAACAGGGTCACACACAAGGGACAGACTGACTGCAGCTTGAAAAGTGGCCAGCTGTTGACATGTCATATCTAGAGCTAGGGACTCTCCTAATAAATTTAATTGATATTGATATAAAATCCAGCTCCTGGGGCAAAGGGAGCAGTTTTGTGTGTGTGTACAATTGTAAATAATGTGCATGTACATATAAAATGCACAAATCATAAGTGCACAGCTTGAATTTTTACATATGTATACCCGTGTTACCACCACCATGCAGGTGAAGACATAGAACATTCTAGCACCCTAACAGGCTCCCTCTATTCCCCTTCCAATCCATGCTCCCTTCAAAAGATTACCACTTCTGACCTCTGTCATCATAGATTAATTTTGCCTGTGTTTGAACTTTCTTTTAATGGCATTATACAGTATTGTTTTGTGTCATTCAACATTGTCGGTGAGATTCATCCATACGTTTGCAGTAACAGTAGTTCATGCTGTGCAGTATTGCATCGTATGAAATCTCACAATTTTTTAACTCAGTTTACTGCTGATGGTCATTTTGGACCGTCATTTGGGTTGTTTCCAGTTGGGGCTGTTATAAATAAAGCTTCTATGAACATTATAGTCCCTATCATTTAGTGGGCATTTTTTAAAAATGAGAATATTACATTTATGGAGCCCCTACTCCGTGTCAGGTATGGAGCCAAGTATTTCAACATATGCTATTTGCATTATAACAACACTGTGACTGGCAAATTTGTATCACATTTTATAGATGAGGAAATTGAGACTCAAATAGATCGTTCCTTGCTGAAGGTGAGATTAATACTAAGCAGCAAAGCCAAGTTTAAAGTAAGGAATAGAATAACAAAGTCCAGGATCTTTCCACTATTCTGCCAGTATTCCAAGAGACCTTTGAGAAATCTTGCATTTTCGAACAGGATTCCTGTTCATTTGCCATATGAAAATCCTTCCTTGTGCTGCAAAAATATAGGCTTAATAATTATGACCAATGTTTGTAGAGCATAGTATCACAATTTATATATTACTAAGAAAAAGTAACCAAAGCATAAAATGATTTGCAACATTTTTATTTCTTGCTGTAAGTCATGAGAAATGCATGTTTGCTACTTTGTAATATTTTTATTAGCGAATGGAGGAAGCCTGCTTTTCAATGACCCAGATGAGAAAGGAAAAGCTGTACCTGTATGTCATTACTGTTGGTTGTCTCTGCCAAATAAAGAAATCAGATAACTTCTCTTGGGGAAGCAGGACCAGATCCATCTATGAAATTTGACTACTAATAAACCTCTTCTTTTCTATTCCTCCTAAGACAGGAATGTCTTTTCTTCCAATTTCTGAAATAAAAATAAATAAATCCTATTGGCAGGGGATGGAGAAACCAGAGCAGATAATACCTAATTATTACATTAAAGTATTTTGAGGAAAACAAATGGAACTTTATTTTAGAATCTTTTTGAGTGATGTCTATCTCTTGGAGTTCTGAACCATTCCCTTAATGTCTTACAGACAGAACCAATTAATTTAGGTTTTGGCAAATGGACAGGAAAAAAAAAGGTAATATGGTAGGCCTGAGGCTGTTTACCTTTACAAAGGCCTGCTTGCAAGGTTAGCCTGTGGTTGGCATCTGGGAACTTGGCTGGCAAATAGTTACCTACAATGATATAAAACTTTGTCTTAATGAAGAGTGGCTCACTATGCCTAAACTGTACACAGAATGTAGTTTATTTTGAACACCTGCTTTCTTTCTGCGAGTCTGGAATTTTGACATGTGCTAGGCAGAGATTGTGTCTTAATAGTTCAAGTTGTTGAACAAAAATATTGAGTGGCTTAAACAACAAATATTTATTTCTCACAGTTCTGGAGGCTGGGAAGCCCAAGATCAAGGCACTGGCAGAAGCAGTGTCTGGTGAGAACCTGTTTCCTGGCATGTAGACAACCATCTTCTTACCATATCTTCACATGACTAAGAGAGAGATCATGTCTCTCATGTCTCTTTTTATAAGGGCACTGTATTAGTCAGAGTTATCCAGAGAAAGAGAACAGTAGGAGATAGAGACAGAGAGCATAAGACAAAGACAGAGAAAGATATTTAGAGCCAAGAAAGCCAGTGGTATAATTTGGTCTGAGTCCAAAACTAGGGGAGCCAATGGTGTAAATCCCAGTCAAGAGAAGGAGAAGATAAGATGATATGTCCCAGTGCAAGCAGTAAGGCAGGAAAAAATGGGCAAATTTCTCCTTCTTCTAACTTTTGTTTTATTCAGGTCCTTAAAGAATTGGTGATGTCCACCCACATTGAGGAGAGCAATATAATTTCTGAGTTCACCAATTCAAATGCTAATTTCATCCTAAAATACCCTCACAGAGACATCAGAAATAATGTTTAATTGGGACATCCCCTGGCCAATCAGGTTGACACATAAAATTAACCCCCATAGGCACTAATCCAATATTAGAGCTCCACCCTTATGACCTATTTACTTCCCAAAGACCCCATATACAAATGCCATCACAGTGGGGGTTAGGCCTCAACATATAAATTTGGGGGTGGGGGGACACAAACATTTGATTCATAGCAGTGTGCCTATAACTAGCACTCAGTAAAAGCCCTGGACACTAAGTCTCTAATGAGCAGGTAGACAACACTTACACATGTCACAAATCATTGCTGGAGGAATTAAACACATCCTGTGGGCTTCATTGGAACAGGAGTTTTAGAAGCTTGTGCCTAGTTTCCTCCAGACTTTACCTCATATGTCTTTTCCAATTTTGCTTTGTATCCTTTTAATGTAAAAAATCTTATCCATGAGTACAACTATATGCTGAGTTCTAGAAAATCCCCAAACTGGGGGTGAACATTGGTGTCAGAAGTGGGATTTCCTAAAACAACACCAACTCACTAAATTATGGCTAAAGTAGTGATTGGGAAGAGGAAGGAAAAAGGGAACATGATGAGTAACCTTTAATGCCACAAGAGGCTACCTAGTCATCCATAGTATGAAACATCAGCTAAGATGATGTCTATTGTGAGAGGTAAAAGTTACTTATAGAATTTGAAAATGATGAATCCAACCTCAGGGGAATTGGTTCATTGAATTTCCTGGCTGTTTTTGGCCTTGATAACTAAAATGAAGGGATGAAAAAAAAAAAAAAAAGTACAGCCTGGGGGATGCCTTTGGGTTTTGCTCTCTTCTCCAGGTGAGAGGAGAAAGGACCCAAACATTCCTCCCCCAAATTTTGGATAGGCCAAAAATGTTAAGTTTGTATTGCTCTCTCCTCCAAGTGGGAGGGAAAATGATTAAGTCAGTTCCAAGGGCTGGAACAAGGCTTTAGATAAATTAGAAACAAAGGGTAGGGAGAAAATAACACTCTATTCATGGGTACATCAGTCCCTTGCATTCCAGCTGAGAATCTCTCAGCAACTGTAATTTTAAATATGTAAATGCTGAATTTACTACCAGGAGTTTGAGTAAACTTGCAATGGAGAGAGAGAGAGAGAGAGAATTTTTTTAAACATTTTTTTTTTTTTGGCAGCTGGCTGGTACAGGGTTCCAAACCCTTGTCCTTGATGTTATAATGCTGTACTCTAACCAGCTGAGCTAAACTGCCAGGCTGAGAGAGATTGTTTTAAATGCCTTTTATTTTGTGGTGATAATATTGTAAAATATTTTATGCTTGTAATTTCATAAATGCTAGGGGGTTTATCCTAATCAGGGAAAGCTGCCCCATAAAATATGTTAGTAGAACATGAACTTCCTTGCTTTTTGCTGCTGGTGGATGACTTAAAATTTAAACTCTTTGAGTATTTGAGTATTAAAAGCTCTATAACTGATGATTTTTGCTACGGTTTTTGCCTGTTGAAGCCTATGGGAAAAGGTAGACAACACAGGAGAAATAATCTCCACTGGAAAATATACTTTTCGAGTTTTAAAAAGTAGTTTTTAGTTTGCTAATAAGTTCTTCTAAAATCAGATGTCTGCCTCTTAGAGACCAATGATTTTCCAACCTACTTTGCTTATTATTATTATTTTTTATAAAGATGACCGGATCTTAACTCTTGACTTGGTGTTGTCGGTACCACACTTTCCCAAGTGAGCCATGGGCAGGCCCGAATTTGCTTATTTTTGAGTGGGTCAATTTGGACTGTAAACCTGATGATGTAAAAAGGGCTTCAAAAATCTGTGCTTGTCACTTGGACTTGGAACACATCAGTTTAGGCCTCTAGCCTCTACTTTGCTGCTGTTAAAGAAGAAAAGTTGCTGGCGTCTTTGGAATCCTGAATTCACAGGTCCTAGCTGCCTGAATCTGAGGCTAAGCTGAAACCTGATATTGTGATGGACTTTTCCAAACTCTGGAAGCAAGCATATGCTCAATGTACTCAGAATTCAAACTCTGGGACTACTGCAGGTTTATATACAATACCCCTCTGTGAGGCCTTAATTATTAATACATCATGAAGGCTGGCTGGGCCACATGGGTCACTTGCAGATACCCATGAAAAAGGGCTTGTTCTATGATGGGACCATTTGAAACCAAGATGCTGATGGAACTAAATGCACCAGAAATGATTGATCACAAGAAATCGAACTTGTGTTTCCTGTCAAAAGCCACAAGTTGGAGGAGAACACATCATGGGGAGTAGGGACTCTCCATCCATTCAGGACAGATGGGACTCTCAATCCCCTTCTCAGGGATGTCTCACTGATGTTAACTCGTGTTCAGCTTTCCAGATTATCTGAAATTTGTACCCTGACTCTCCTCACTCACCTCTCTCCTTAGTCAGGCAGTTTGATTACTAAACGCAGCTGGCCCCAGACAGATTGATCTTTTCTAGGTTGCTTACTGAATAAATGATCAGGACAAAAGGGATGGGTGTTACATAAAAAGATTCTGAAAATTTTTGAAAATTCAGAATTTTGCACTAACCAATTTCTGAACATGATGTGATTTTCTGGTTAAGTTACATAAAAAATGATTTTCTATGTAAATTCTCTTGTGCATCTTGCACCCAACCCTTCCTGATAAAAAGTCTAGATGAGAATTAAAAATGATTGGGAAAAATGTAAAGTTATGATTTCTGAATGAGTCACACTGATTTTGTCATGTGAGAAAAGAGAAGTAACAAAAGCCCAGCACCTGTGAATATTCAGGGGAAGGAGGGCATTAAAGATCTGTTTTTCATAACTGCTGGTTTTCATAACTGCTGTTTTTCAGAACTGCTCCTGAACATCAGTGTTGTCTTTCCAAGATGCTGCGAGGTATTGAATTCAAACTGCTGAGCTTATGATCACACCTAACAAGCACTGACTCTGAGACAGCAGGGGGTGGCCTCAGCTCCTACATTTTCCAAGAATATCTTAAGATGTTATCTACACTCATGAGGCAAATGAACTCACATCATAAACAAGCAAAACTGATGAAAATTGACTGCCCTTAGGCAGTCTTTCTAAAACCAAAGACTCAACTGAATTATTTGGACTGGATGGGGAATCCTAGGGCAGAAGATTCCACAGTGGGAATCCACTCTGGGGGCCCTGTTTACCTGCATTGTCTGACTAATGTACGTCCTCAATGGCATGACTTAACAACTGCAAACTTGGGCTGGCCAGTTATCTCAGTTGGTTAGAGTATGGTGTTTAACACCAAGGTCAAGGGTTCAGATCCCCATATCATCCAGCTTCCAAAGAAGAAAAAAAAATTGCAAACTCTTTGTTTCCAAGAATGCTATCTGGAATTGTACTTCTTGCATGTGTACCTTGACTGTCATGGACTGCCTCAGTCCTGGAAGGCACTGCAGGTCAGCTTAAAATTACCAGCCAGTGTTGTGCTGTGCTTGAGTTGATGCCTTGAGCTAGGCTGGAAAAGGTTAATACAAAAAATTAAAGAGAAAGCCATTTGGCTTCCTAAGACTGACATTTATAGTTAATGGGATTTGTTTTAATTGGCTAAATCCAGGACCCCTGGATTTCAGGTGAAGTCAATACTGCAGGTTGATTTCACCCTGCATCATGAGTTCTACTGATAATAATTTTGCTATAAAATGCCTGGCCAAGGGGACAGACTGTACAGAAAAGGCCTAATATTGCAGGCCTAAAACCACCTATCCTTAGAAAGGCCTGCTTGCAAGGTCAGCCCTTGGCTGGTTTCTGGGAACTCAGCTGGTAAACACTTCCTGAAGTGATATAAAACCTTCCCTAAATTACAAGAGTGGCCTAAACTGTGCAAGCAATGTGGCTCATACTGAACAACTGATTTTCTTCTGTGAGATTGGAATTTTGGTACCTAATAGGCAGAATGTGCCTACATGGACAGCGCCCGGTAAAAACCTTGGATAATG